GATCAATGGCTATTCTACTGATTCCTACTGAGCATGGCTAGGAAAACATGTGGCAGATGGATGGTTAGGAAGGACTCAGATGTCCTTTGCTCACAGCTGTGTTTTGCAATACTGACTTTCATTGAGCAATAAAGGAAAAACGGGGGGGGGGGGGTTGATTCATTGAACAATAAAGGAAAAATTGGGGTGTGTGTGATATAAGTCACCAAACAATTCCTAAGGACAGAGGAATCACCCCTGGGGGTTTCAGCCACTCCAGGTTCTATGACAAATTTGAGAGGGACACTTGTTTTGGGTGCAAATCAGGCATAATTGCCTCTGTATACTGAAGAAGTCAGAGAGACTTGCCCATGACAATCAACTATATAGAAAACAGTTGCAACTTTGAATTTTGTTGGAGCAATAATACTAAATACATTAAATAAATATTCCATTGAAATCTATGTAACTTTTGAAGGAAATAACCTGGGTCTTTCATGTTGATATCTGAACACTGTTAACATGAAAAAAAGTCCTCACTATCAGTAAGGGAGCAGGCTCTGTATCTCTTCTATCCTGTCTAGTCTAACGTAATCACAATACTATGGTGGCAGAAAAGTCTATACTACAAAATTGAATTTAATGGGGTTTTATTACAGGATTTGGAGACCAAATGCCTCCTTTTAATTGCTTTTGGCTTCCATGAAATGAATTTGTATGATGGCTATTGATACAGAATCATGACTTGAAAAGATGTTGGGAAATTAAAATTTTCTCCAGAGTGCAAACACTGTTGTTGAGTTCTTAGCACTCATCAAATTTTAATCCCAAGGATGGAGGAAATTCATTGCACTGAAATTAGCCTGCATTACCTCTATGTCCACTTTCCCCTATCGAATACCATTCAGATAAGTAGGAATATAATTCCCCATCACAACACATTGGCTATAATAATTGTGGGTGCTGGGAATTGTAGTCCAGAAGAGGGAAACTACTGTCAGATGAAAAACAGGTGTTCTGAACCTCCCGATGCACTCTTTGCTTATCTTAAATCATGTTCAAGCTTTTATCTTTCCTCCTACAAAACTTCAGTGGATCTAGGGAAGCTTCAGTGTCTGGCAGTTTTTAAGAAAACACGATACCCGAGAGAAGGACTTCTCCACCTTTGTCTGTGCACTATTTGGCAATCATACCTGCCACAGTATTGACCAGCCTTTGCATACAGTTGGAATCAGAGAAAGCAGAGGGGCAGGCGGAGAAGGGAAAAGCCCATATATATTCACAACAGAGAAACGAAGATCAACATACATAGAAGCAAAATTACATAATAATATAATAATAAATACTTAAATCTATAATACATTGCAATTACAACATTGATAGCTTATTATCATTAGCATTAGGATCCAGAGGAAAGTAGGACAGATATCCTTTTAAGGGATTGGTATGCAGTAGAGAAGACATGAAAAACGGCACATGGGATACAAGAAACGAAGAGGACAGAAATAATAAATAAAACCACAACGGACACATGATAAAACATGGCAGAAGAGTGAAGAGTCACAGCAAAGCCTTCAAAACAAAGCTAACAAAACTTTTTATCACAGAGGTGGGTGGGAAAGGTGCTGCAGGCCAGAAAAATCCCTATATAAGACCGAGAATGTTAGATAATTTTGTACCTGGTGTGAAGTTAAAGTGATGTCTCTCTCTCTCCCTCCCTCTCTTCACATTCTGGAGATGGAGAATTAGCAGCAAGACAATGATACTGTTAAAGCGTCAGCTGCCTCCAAACGAACTGCTTTGTGGTTCTCAACCTAGCCTTGGTTAGCAATATATTCTCATGACCTTATTTCTTCTACAAATATTGAGCCTTATGTGGCTTTGGGTTATATTTGAGAAAAATCAGCACTGGCATTCTATTCAAGTGCAAGCTTAAAAGATCTTGGCATCTTGAAAAGTACGTTATTTCAGAGTAATACAGGCATTTGGTATTTCTGCCGTTATCCCAATTGTTCATTTGTTTCAGCCTATCTGAAAATTCTTGGTGATACTTATGAATATTTCCCATAAGTATCGATGAGAGGAATCTAGAGGCACCTAATCCCAGCTCATCAAACCTAACTGGTTAGTGCGAATTCTACTTTAATCAAACTTTCACAAGATCAAAAATTCCTAAGGTGGAACTTTTCACCTGCACTCCTGATGCAAGCTCCCAGGTGAAATGAGGAATTCGATCTTTTAGCATCTGTGGATACTGTACAAAACCAGACTCCAAGAAAGCTGCAGCAGAATATGTCATCTTGCTTTCAGCATAACAATTCAACATTTTTTTTTAAAAAAAAGAAAATTATACTGCCAGTGTGAGAACCTAATTGCAACCTCTCCAGTCCCACTGTCCAATGCCCCTCTGCATATTACTTGCAAAATAGCATGCAGGTCCACATAAGTCACTCCCGAGCTTGCAGCATCTAATCTGAACAGACAGTGGTAAAATAAATACAATGAGGATCTCTCTACTTTGTATCTTGGCAAAGTAGACAGCAATTACTACGGTCAGGAAACAGACAACCTGATGCTAGAACATGTTATTGCTGCTCCCCTGTGGTTTGCAAAGTCTGAACCTGAGATTGTTATTTTTGTCTTGTGTATTTAAAAAAAATACAGCTGAACAAGAAAATGGGAAAAGAAATGCACTAAAAGGTTTTTTTTTTTTTTCATTTTAAAAGCTACACAAACAACCCTGAGGTATTGGCTCAAAAAAAAAAAAAAGTCAGCACGTGATACGAAAGAAGCAAATGCAAAATCAGATACACAAAGAAGAAAATGTGCTTTCAGGGAGACAGTTCTGTGCCTTTATTTTAAATAGATGAGCACCCCCTGTGGTGCATCCGGGTCATGAACCGAGCTGAATCCTTTGCTGCTCCCCACAAATACGTCCAGAGTAGCCAATAATGAAAATGTGCAACATCCTTCCCACTCTTGTGTTTCGACTGGGATCGTACACTTGTGGCCAACTATTATCTTGACATGCGTGTTCATTTGCTTGCCCTAAAGTTCTGTTTTGTACCTATTCAAGGCAATGTAAACAACATGGCGCTCTGAAATGGAGGCCTTTGACAAATATTTCATACAACACTGGGACTGTAACATTTACCAGGTTAAAGCAGCTCACTTCCATGAAGAACCTCCACACAAGTCCCAAGAGAGTGACCCACTGAGGGCAAAACCCTCTGCTTGGTTGAGCTCATCTACACAGTCAGTGGCTTACAAATAATCTCCCCTACTCCGGCGGAAAACCAGCAGTGTAGTAGTATTTCTCAAACAATCTTCTCCATCAGAAACACATTTGGATCTGCCTACTGTTCAGTAACATGAAACCCATTCGCCCCCCTTATCTAGCCCTACTATCAAATTGATTGAATGGTGTGCTTCTACCAGTCAGTGGTGATCTATTTTACATTTGTCATTTTATTAGCATAGTTTAATAACTGGGAAGAGGTCCAATTATCTACTCGTGGTGTGAAAAATATCCTGAGCTGGCTATGGTCTCTTCTGATTTAAGATATACATCTTTTAAAAGGTGCCAGAGAAACCTTTCCTCCCTAAGAAGGAAAGTGTTACCTGCAGAAGAACTTTCATCCAAATTACTTCCCAGTGACTTACTTAGATGAAACTTTCAAAACTAGTTTTCTTGTCTCCGTCATCGACAACAGTCTTTTAAGTTCAAGACAAAATGTCGGATCAAACTGAAGTTCTTAATAACATTCTATAGACTTAGAAGACAGATGATGAAAACTGAATTTGGGATGGGCTGGCAAGTGCTTTCACATTACGTCTAAAGTATTCTTTATCCTTTCTAGAACTTCATTTCTTGAAAGGCTGTGTTCACTTTGATGACCTGCTAAGGAGTGAACGTTGTCTTTGGACTGTTTGCTCACTGACTGATTTGCATTCACTGAGAAATCCCTGATTGATGGTGAATGAATACTTAGAGGAGACAAGAGATTTTGGATGGTGAACTGAAGCTAAAATGTCGGTTCTTGCAGTAGTAAAAAGACACTGCCTCCTGGCAGCTTCCCTAAAATAGGCCTGAGGATATTTAAATATATTTTTACTCTCGTACCACAACATAATTTATTCAACATTTCCATGGTCTTAGTTCTCCAAAATTCTCTTCCACCTCCATCTGCCTTCCACAGATGCTGGGTTTAACATTGTTTGAACAAGAGGAGCCATTCAGAGTAGCCTGCCTTTGGGTTGAAGAGCCCACCAGTTCTCCTAAGTCAATGAGAAATTAAATTAAATACTCTGGCCTTCTGAAAAGCTCTCCCCATCACCACCCCAGGTTTAGATTTAATGTACTCCCTTTACAGACAGCACATACTTAATTGAATATATAGCTCCTATGCAGTCTGCACCCTTCCTACTCAAGGTACCCTTTTTTTCTTATAGCTAAGCCTACTCTTACAGCCACAAGTCTTATTATTTATCCCCTGCTCAGACCCAGGAAGAAGAAGGTTTTATGGCTTTGATTGCAAGGTGTGATAGAACAAGGAAACTAAAGAAGTATTAAGAATAATTCCTGGCTCAGTTTGAGTTAAAAGATTTTCTCACTTTTTTTAAAAAATAAAAAGCAGATGCCCATATACACACCCACACACCCACGCAACACACACACCTTTTATCTCTTTTGGGGGTGTCTCCACCACTGATGCAAGCCATTGAAGGAGCCACAGGCCTAAGGTATTGCTTTGAAACTTGTGTTTCAGATTTAAATACCATATACATAAAAACAGAGCTGAAGTGCTGCCCCTACATTGTCTGAAAATCATTGCCAGAATGAACAGCTTCAAATAAATTAGAAAGAAAAGTCAAAAATTATTTGTCTCAATAAAAACTGTAGTAAAACCTTTAAACTTTTTTTCTTTGTGTTTTTTTTTTCTCTCTTTTATATTATATATAACATATATTTATATATGTATAGGACTGCTGGACAGCAGCTTTAAAGAATGCTAGCCAGAGAAACACAAAGGCCCATGCTCAGTCTAGGAAGAGGGGAGCCTCGGAAAAGAAACCTCTCTAGGTTTCTACACCTGAATTTCAGCCACCAATATATTGTCCAATATCCTGATGGAATAGAAAGGAAATGCCCCAGCTGTAATGGAAATGGACAGGCAAAATCTCAATTACTTCCTATAAGTTAGATAGGAATGTACTCATTATAATTAATAATACACTCTTCAAAGAAAAGAACCTGCTTCCCTTTAACTCTTTAACTGAAAATCTGCGGATTGAAGAGCCACCATTTTCCTCCAAGAAAACTTTCACCCCTCCCGAGCTTCAATTTCGCCTTAGTTTCTCTTTCAACCCCATTGTAGGACACATGCATCAGCTCTCCCGTTCCCTCTGGAAGGGAAGAGAAAGCACCCTTTGCATGCAAAAGGAAAGAACCCAATATTTAAAGAGTTAATATACTCTCCACCTACCCAAGAAAGGGAATGTGATTGTGGTTTGTCATGGTGGTGGAGGTAGGAACCAAAGGAGGCACTAAGCATGCACCGTTATGTTTCTTGACTTCAGATTCCTTTAGCTTTGCCTTTGTTTTAGCGGATATGCCCTTTGAAAATGCACACGGGCATTGAAAAAAATGCTCCTACACCCACACCCTCCTTCTCCTCCGTTAAATATGTTGCCCAACTTCCTCCTCGTCCCTACTCCTTTCTCCCTCCCACACCCCCAGATGCACCCACACTTGCTCTCAAATCTCATACAGTGAAATTCAGGAAACCTCTATGATCTCCATGCTGCCTGAAAAGCTAGACTGTTTGCTAATTTTGCCCAGGTCTTCCCGGGATCTGCTTTCTGACAAGGTTTCTTCAAATTCCATTTGGCAGCTCCTCCTTTTGAACTGCTTCTCGGGCATGGTGTCCTCGTGCCAGCTATGCCGCACCTCTCGCTGCTCCCCTCGTTGCTTGTCCCTCAGTCTGATCTCACAGCTTGCCTGGATTGTGCTGCAGCTGAATGAGGAGTAGGTAGTGGCGCTGGCAAAGAGAGTCCCACCCCCGCCGCCTTTGCTGCCCGCTGCCGAGTCTGTGCCGAAGTACCAGGGGTTCTCCGAGGAAGGCGTGCTCAGGGATTCCACGTGCATCCCCCAAGTGCCAGCATTGGAGGGGGTGGTGGCTGGCTGGGCCATCTGCTGCCCTACATTGGGAAGGCTCAGCCGAAGAGTCTGCTTGAGATTGTCCTCCATGCTGGTGCTTTTGTGCATGGCACACATCCCACTGAAATTAAGGCTCAGACCATGGGCAGGGGAGCCAGCTTGGTGCCTGTGCTTCCGCCGTTGTCGTACTTTGGCCTCTAGAATGAAGTCGGGTCCGCTGGGCCAGTCAGAGCCATCTGGAAGGGGAGAGAACTGACACGTACCATTGGGACCTGAAGGGCTGTCCAACTTACAAAGCTTGGGAGTTTCCCCTACTTCAGTAGGAAGCGGGATCTCCTGCCTTTGGGTAGGACAGTAGGCTGACTTGATGTCTAGAGAAAAAGACCGCTTTAGTCGGTTGGTGTCTTGGATGCGATCAGAAGATAAATGCAGCCCATTGAGTCCTTGCTGCAATGCCATCGGTGAGACCACCTTTGAAATTCCCAGTGATCGCTCTGAGTCAATGGAGGATGTTTCCACGATTGTGCTTTTTAATACCTCCTCAGTCTTTTCCGAGAGAGACAGAGTCTGGGGTCTGTTACCTTCACAAGTCTCGAAGTATTCTTGCTGGGGTTCCCCTTCCCCTTTCTCTCCTTGGGCCTTCAAAGCCTTGAGTAGCTTCAAACTTCTCTCATACTCTAGGAGTTGACCTAAGAAGTTGAAATTGGGTGATATGGAGGGACGTCTGTCTTTGACAAACCTGTCGGGGCAAGCAAAGGGCCATGATTAGTACATGGCATTTTCTTATTTTCAATAAAGATATATTTTATACATCCTGAAAGCATTGCCAAGATTTTCAGCATCTAATCAACAAGCCATGGTTGCAAAAGATTCTTTAAAATGCTATAATTCAAAGCAATGCTAGAAACTAATTATATTCATCTTTCCCACATGCCCATGCCTTTAAAAAGTAGAGATATATTTAAGGATCTCTCCTTGTCCAATAGATGATCAATTGTTACCAAGTTCCACAAATTTCAAGGGTTCAGCAAGGTGGCTGTGTAATCAATATGGTGATTCCATACCCATACATAAGCCCTTCTGTATACAGTATTACTTCAGCACTCTATTTTTTGTGCAGTGTGCGCAGGTTTTCTTTTTTTTTACTGTGAATCACAAAATGACTAAATTTACATGTGAATAGTCCCAAATGATCAAAGAGTGGGATCCAATCAGCAGGTGAAACTGAAGTGGCTACCACAAGCCTGACGGTTACATAAATCAGCTTCTAAGCTGACACTAAGAAAGAATTAAGAATTAGAGCTTCACAAAAGACCATTCCCTCATTGGCATGATATTTATGGTATTGTTTCCTTTTCTTGTGTGTCCACTTGGTTTTTTGTGGAGGGAACCTGTTGAGAAAAAAATGCTTGACGCCAAAAATAGCTATTAAAAAAATAAAACCTGTGCTAAGGAGCTTTTGAGGATTGGATGGGAGAGAAGAACCAGCCAACCAATTATTCTCCTTGGAAAAGAAAAATAACCACCATCTTCTTCTGGAAATCCACCTACCTGTAGGCATCATCTGAAGACATGCCCATGGTCTTCATGATGTATGCAATGGCAATGGTGGCCGATCGGGAAATCCCTGCCAAGCAATGCACAATCACCTGGCAGCTAGAAACCTTGGCCTTATCTGCAGGACAAGAAGAGAATACATCACTTCAAACACCGAAACCTTAAAGGCTACCAAGACTCATTTCAGATTTGGTGAAGCAAAGGCAGTACCAAGAAAGATTATCTTACCAAATCTGAAATCTTAAAATGTGTCATAAAGTTCTTTGTTGTTTTTGTTGCTACAGACTAACATGGCTGTCCTTTGGAGACCAGAAAGAAGAAGCAATAAATGATATGAACAAGATATTTATCTCTGCACAAGTGGATGCTTTAAGTCAAAACTTGCTTTAACCTTGTTTTGATTAACTGAAGGGGCGGCAGGGGAGGGGGAGATGTTCATTCCTGTATCTGGAACACTATGGCATCGTCATTTGTGTCTTGACATCCTTATGCAAATCACACCATTTTATAGTAATGTCATTATATCAACTATGGACTGTTGCAAATGCCATTATATTAAGTTTCACTGTGCTGGTCATACTGGTTACACAACTCTTGCGTTTAGCTTGTAGCAAGGAGAGGGAATCTGAGGATTTCAGACTATAGCTCTAATTAGACAAGCCAGCATGACCAGTAGTCTGAAATGAAAAAAAAATGTTGTAATTGACTTGTATGTTCCATATACTTTCCTTGCATAATGTAAATTTAAAATAATTTAAAGAAACCAAACAGGCAAATACTGCACCACTGCGCCACGGTGGCGCAGTGGTTAGAGTCCAGTACTGCAGCCTACTTCTGCTGACTGCCAGCTGTCTACAATCGGCCAGTTCAAATCTCACCAGGCTCAGGGTTGATGGAAGCTTCCATCCTTCCAAGGTGGGTAAAATGCGGACCCAGATTGTTGGGGGCAATAGGCTGACTCTGTAAACCACTTAGAGAGGGCTATAAATCACTATAAAGTGGTATATACAGTAAGTCAAAGTGCTATTGCTACATCCTTCATCTCTTATGAAGGGGTGATTTGATTTTTAGAGCCTATGTCTGTCTATTTGACAATCTTTTGCAATAAATTATGTTGCTCTGACATGATAAAAATTACAGAACGAATAAAGCCTGGATTAAAAATCTGGGCACAGCATTCATTTATTTAAGCATAGCATCAACTAAATAAATCAACAAATATCAGCATTGTTTGGAAATGTTTCATTCATTCATTCATTCATTCATTCATTCATTCATTCATCCTTTCGATATTTTGGATGTCAACACTCCTAAATCCTAAAGGTCATCCTGGCTCTGAATTATGGGAGTTGATTCAATATTCCAGAAGATACCAGGATGACAAAAAGCAGGGGTGGGATGCAAATATTTTTTTACTACTGGTTCTGTAGGCATGGATAGATGGGCATGGCCATGTGACAGGGTGGGCGTGGCTGTTTTTTGCACCCCCCTGCACTCCATTTTTTTTGCCTCCTGGGCCCTCAGGGAAGCCTCCTGGGAGACCGTTTGTGCTCCCAGGAGGCTTCACTGAGGCCCAGGAGTCCAAAAATGGAGTGTGGGGGGGGAAGGGGAGGAGGGGTTGCGTAGCACCACCACTCCCGTGCTCCATTGTTTTGCCTCCTGGGCCTCAGGGAAGCCTCCTGGGCAAAGCAGTAAGACAGCGAGAGGGATCCCAGCACAGCTGATCATCGGAACAGCTAATCATTGAGGAAAAAGAAAAAAGAAATACCAGTATCTGTTTTTTTACTACCGGTTCAGCCAAACAGTAACATTTTTTACTAGTGGTTCACTTGAACCGGGCCAAACCAGTAGAATACCACCACTGATAAAGAGTGCTTTCATAGGCAATCTGAAACACTGCCTACATTCTATGTCTTAAGAAATAAATTATTTTTGTACATATTAACAAATACTATCTGAATAAGCTTGGCTGTTCTGAAGTTTAAAAAGCTTATTCATTGAAAGAGCAGTATTATCTCAAGTAGTCCTAATTATTCCTCGGTGATATCCAGATTTACATTAATCTTGTCACCTGGGCATCAGCACCAGGAAATTGTTTTGTACAAAAGGAGAAGGTTCACCTTCCAAGGGAAGACTGGTATTTTGCACACTGTAGATCACAGGTGGGGAACTATGGTCCTTTTTTGAGCTTTGGGTTTCAACTCCCAGAATTCCTGAACCAGCATGGAATTCTGGCAGTTGAAGCCAACAAGTCATAAAGGGGCTAGAGTTCCCCACCTCTACCATAGATTTTAAAATATAGGATCAATGGAACAGGAAATGGGGAACTGAGCAATTTGGTCATCATTCCAAAACCCTTTGCATCAACAGCTGATACTCTGAAAAAAAAAAACCTTCAAGAACTCTTTACCAATAAGACCGGTCTTACCGATGAACTCAATAGATTTATCCAGCCAAGGAAGCAGTTTCTCACAGTAATTGTCATTGACTGGAATGCGCATGAAGTGACTGTCACAGATGAAATCTGGCTTGGGACATGAATTGCTGGCATTGAGAACATAGCTGATTCCATTCTGGGTCATCAGATCCTGAAGGGGAAAAAAAAGAGTTAAGTTATTTCATTTGTCATTCAGTGCAGTATCCTCTCTCCTATTCTTCCAGAGGTTCTGATTATGCCCTAGTTTTAAGAGGCAGTGGAAATCCAGAAGATCTTGAACTACAGTTCTCAGCAGCCACAGTCGGTATGGCCAAAGAGAAGGTTAGGAATTGCACTTCCGACAATGTTGGGAAGGTTACTGACTTTCCACTGTTGGACATTGTCTTCCTCTCTCTCTTGACTAAACTGCCTTCCATCAAGTTTTCTAGCCATAGAGGGTTTCTATGTATTTTAGCTGCCAGTTTAAAATAGTTGAGCAGCTTCTTGTCACAGCAAACAGCTGAACCTTCAATAACAACATTGTCAAACATTTGAAATGCCTTTACAGCATAAATTCCCAGTGGAATCAGATCCATGTACTTCTTATGTTTTCCAATGGGAAAGGAAAATAGGCCTGCATGCACCATGTCTTCTAAGAGAGGAATGGACTTTGGAAAAAGGCTACATTTCCATGGATTAAATCATAGGGCATTAAGGTATTCCAAGTATTGTTTTGCTACAGTGAAGGAAAAACCAACCAACCAACCTAAATACATCATAGACGGTTCCTATATTTCATGGGAAACATGATGTTCCTCTTGTTGAGTTTACCATTTTTCTCCTGTGCAATAAACCCTAACCTCAGATTCTAGGAGCCAGCCAAACTCCCAAGCTTACATTCTTAGAATTTTTTCATTCTTGTGTGTTTCTACTCCCTGTATAAAATGTTATTTTCTTCCTTTCTGCACCTCTAATTTAGTCGCTTCCTCCCACCTCCTTCTGAGCAATACGCTACTGGCTCCCTCTAGCCTGGGATACATGCCCACTGATATTGTAATAATGACTTCTTTCTTATGCTTTCTTCCCTGCAGTCCTATCATAGCCAAAGCATTCTGGCACCTTTTGAAAGGACAGTGCAGCTCTCCCTCCCTCTCCTCCATTCCCTATGCTCATCTTTATGCATTTGGGGGCCCTTTCAAAGGATTTGTTTTCTTCTTCTTGCAGATGTAGGCTGCACTGCCTACACTCTCTGGCACCTCAACTTACCATCAGTCACAGCTGAATGCCAAGGCTAATACCTCATCCTCTGGCTGGACATGGAAAAGCTGAGGTCAATGTTGTTCCTTAGCCTGGCTGGCACCATACTCTGGCAATACAAAACTGGCTCCCTTCACATAACATTTCTTAGGGACAGCCTCACCATCCCAACATTCCCACTGCTAATGCCTTTATTGCTTCAAGGGAAGCCCATGAAGTCTCTGTCTCTGCATACTTCAGAGGTCCACAAAGACACTGTTGTTCAACCGGGTGATGTATGATTTTGCACAGATAGCAAGTGACTCTTCTGGGCAATGACCCTTAGTGCTTTCACAAAAAGAGATAAAGATTCTACAAGACAAGCCCATCTCCCTTCAATGTCATAGAGTACCTTATTTAAGACATCTTTCTGGGAACCTAGATAGAGATGAGGCAAGATGCGTGTTGGGCCAACATTGGCCACTGGCAAGCATGGCTGAGAGATACTCATTGGCAGGATGGCAGTTGGCTTTCCTTCACAAAGTCCTGGGAAACAAGACGAGAAGGTGGCAAAGCCCCCTGAAAGAAGGAAGGGAATATGAATTAGGAGCAATGGTTCTTTTTCATTAACTGTATTTTATTTGTAATATTTTACACTCATTCTACTAACCTACCACTTCAATACTGAACGAAACTTTCTACATTTCAATTATAGCCTAAAACAGCCCTTGGTTTTCATGAAGACATTCGTCATGCATATAAAAGCAAATGACTGATTTTGTGACAGATTTTTTTAGACAGCATACAAAGGAAATGTGCCTGTTCTTTAGCTATGAATCAAGAATGGCTCTTGGAGATGTTGCTATAGTTGTTATGATGTTAGGCTTTGTCAATATGTAGCATTCCCACACTCTTTAACCATCCTTTTACTTGCTTACTACAGTGTCTTCTTGTTTAGCAACTGCAATTTGTTCCAGAGATTTTCCTCATATACTGAAATGGTCCCTAGGTGAACCTATAACTGGAGACAGAGGTGAAGAGACACTGCAAAGATTGCTGGTTGCTGCCAGTTCATTCAGATAAAATTCATGCACCTACACCAGGGTTACTCTCATCCCGAAGTTTCTGATGTCAGGTGCAGAAATGTGGTTATAAGCACATACATTGGTTAGAACATGATTTTATTTTACTACTATTTATTACCATTGTATTTGCAAATGATGGTTAACTAAAGTAGCTGCTAAATGGGGAGTTGTTGTATTAATACCATTATTGTATTAGTATCCCTTGTCATCACTCTTAGAAGTTTCCTCATCTCCTATCTGGTAAAACTTTCTTACAATTCTGTTTCATAAAACAGAATTTCATACACATACATCGTATCTTAGCATTATCAAACTATTACTCAGTTAAGAAACATAATTAAACAAATATTAATATGAAAAAAGAGAAAAAGAATGAGCAAAGAAAGTATGGTTAGTGGGATGAATTAAATTGCTGACTTCAGTTTCTCATTCCTCCTTAGTTCATTTGATCCCTTTTACATCATTCTGAAATTGTTTAAAAATACACATACAAATGTTACTAGAAAAATCCATATTTTTACAATAGTTCCCCTACATTATTTTTTGTTTCTCCCATATTTATCTTGTGGCTTTTCTTTAAATTCAGACATGTACACCACAAATTTGTGAGAATTGTGAATATTAAAAGATAACTATAATCTAGTTTGCATATTTATTTCATAAATAGCAATAGCACTTGGACTTATATACCGCATCATAGGGCTTTACAACCCTCTTGAAGTGGTTTACAGAGTCAGCATATTGCCCCCAACAATCTGGATCCTCATTTTACTGACTTCAGAAAGATGGAAGGCTGAGTCAATCTTCAGCCAGTCAGGATCAAACTCCTGGCAGCGGGCAGAGTTAGCCTGCAGTACTACATTCTAACCACTGCGCCACCATGGCTTTTGCACGTTTTTAAAATCAAAACTCAAATGGATACAATTCTTTCTTCTTTCTTTAAGTCAGATTAATAAAAAAAAACCAACAAAACAAATTGGAAAACGAACCTCAAACCTAAATCCTATAGTTCCAGAAACAACTTTAATAAAATTAAATCCAATAAGAATCAATCAAAATCTTTCAAAAGAATGAGTAATTCTAGAATTCTTCAGACTTATAGCATATTGTTCAAATAGGAATTCTGGATCCTTGGAGAAATACACTATTTTTCTGGATGAATACTTGAAAAGAATTATGTAAACCAACAAGGGAAATCACTTAAGACTTTGGCAAATAACTGTATTACCTAAAGCAAGAGAAAAGGGATACATACAACAATGTTTCTGTCAAGACAAAGCATCAGTTTGCATATACTGCACGCTCCAATAAAAAAACCCACATTTTAAACCTGAGATTAATGAGTCAGCTCATTTATCATATGCATTAATCACTTCATTCTTTCAGTGCTTACTGTAATGACAGTGGTTGGACTTTCCCTTCACTGTTCTTTTTCTATTTTTAAAAGCCACTTTCAAGATTGCTTGTTTTATTGCCCATTGATTCCAGCAGTTTACAGAATCTATGCTATCTAACAAAAAGTGCAAGTCTCTGTAGAGAACCCTGTTATATTTTGACATTACTCTTTTGGTGTTTTACAGATCACCCTTCGCAGTGCATAAGCAAGTAGCATAGTTTTCTTCCAGCTTGCACATTTTTAACCGATTACAAAACAACCGAGTATCTTAGCGATGGGAAATAGCAGATAAACAGACAGTGCTAAATAAAATAAATGGAATCTGCAGGGGGTAGGTGGGGCGTAAGTGTGTGTGCATGCGTGTAATTCTAGGAAGGCAGGAAATAAACTACCTGGACTGGAATTTGGTCAGGGCTTTGACGGATAATTTTACTTCTCTTTTATAAATAGTCCTCTTGAGAATCTTTAGCAGTCACATGTGAGTGAGATTTGTCATCTGAGAAACGGCAGGCTGAACAGTTGCCAGTGTTGTTGTACCCTGGTTTAAGAGAGTCCAAGTCAAGAGAGTTGCTTCGAGCAATGATTTTAAAAATGTTTACTTCTAGAAACCATTCCTGTGCTGATTTTTCCATCAAGGAAAGTCTACTGTATTGCAGAAAATTGAGAAGCATTTTCCCATATGTGTTAAAGCGTCATTTCAGACACAGATAAGACATGATCAATTAACTACTACCTGCTAAGAAATAAGAATATAATATTAAGTTTTCAAGTGATGGATCAAGCCCCGTAACATACGGAAGTCTGTGCCAGATCCACAATTTTAAAAATATAAAGAAAAAGGGTCCTACAAGGCATTGCTGGGTTGAAGATCTGTCCCAGGTCTTAAAAGATAGAATGTTATGGATCTAAACCACACCCAAGACTTTTCCCATCTTTGCACACTTCTAAAAGAGTTTTTTAGTGTGTTTCAAGGAAGCATGGCGTATCTTCTAATTGAGGAACACCTAATAAGCTATCAGATTTATCCCTGAAGAACCATTTGAAGATCATTGACTGAACCAATCACTCTTAGGATCTTTCCAAAGCATTGATCCTATAATTTTAGATCTTGTTCCTTTGTCCATCATCGATCATCTCTGGTTGCTTCACTGCCAATTCAGAAGCTGGGTTTTTATAGTTGACAGAGACCTATGTTGGTTTGGCAATGTTTCAGTACCTTCCTCCGTTTCTTCTCTCTCTCTAGCTCCTATTCAAGTACACAAAAAAAGATCTTTTCTAATTCATGCTCTGGTAACTGGCCGATTAAGCAGCTCCTTGTATAGGTTAATTAGAAAAATGAGTCTATACATTGAGTAGGTGGCCAAGGTATTTAAACAAAGATGGCAGGATTTCATTTCTGAACAGATCCTCGAGCAACTTTAGTGCAAAACGTAATATCTGATTCATGTTTTTCAGTTTCTTTTTTTTCTCCCTTTTTAAAACGACTCTTGCACTCCATAGCTCCATAACTATTTCCTAGAACTCTTTCATTGTGGGAGGCTTACTTTCATTAACTCCTAATTTGGAGACAGATGATTTCCTCTGTGACTAGATAACTACTAAAAATATTGAAATATGAGTTTTCAGGATGGCTTTGTCAATTTGAGATGCAGAGAGTTAATGCAACACTACCTCTCCCATACCACTGGGGCATGACATCACTCTCTCAACCAGGATATTAAATCAGAATGAATGAAATGAGATTAGTGCAGTGTCCAAGAGCTCTGGTTACTTCTATTTATTGCCCCTCTGCCTTTAGCATTCTGTTTCATCAAACCTATGTATTTCTTTCTTGTACTGCGTGTAAGATGACAGACTAGCAGTCAAAACGGAAACATTTCCAGATGCATTTCTAAAAGAAGCCATATTGCATCTATGGTAGTAGAATACAACTGTTCTATCAGTTAGCGTCTCACAACCTACAACATCATCTATTCTAATTGATAGCTGTTCCTCAAGGCCAGGGCTAAGCAGTACAGGTAGTTCTCAACTTATGAACACAACTGAGCCCCAAATTTATGCTGCTAAGTGAGTTTTGTCCCCTTTTATGGCCTTTCTTGCCAGAGTAGTTAAGCGAATCACTGTTAGTAACGTGTTTAGTTAGTAACATGGTTATTAAGTAAATCTGGCTTCCCTACTGACTTCGTCAGAAAGTCACAAAAGGAGATCACCTTCATAAATATGAATCAGTTGCCCAGCTTCTGAATGTTAATCATGTGCAAAGGTTGTAAGTGTGAAAATAGATAATAGATTACTTTTTTCAGTGCCGTTGTAACTTCAAATGATCACTAAACAAACTGTTGTAAGTAGATCATACAGTTCTCACTTAGTGATTGCCTCATGTAGCAACCACTCCCAGTTATGATAAAATATTAAACAGGGGAACTGAAAAGAGCACAGAAAATAAAGAATTGGAATTCTGCAATTAGCCTTTAAAATTCTCGGTTGCTGCTTCTTTATTTATTTGCTTTTTAAAATTTAAGAAGCCAATATAATTTAACTGAAATTCCATGAAAAAGTACAAGCACTTAGTCTCTCTGAAGGTGGGGTGGCTTTTGCTTACAATCAATGCTAGCTGCCTTTCTACTTTGAAATCAAGAGAGGAAAATACAACAAGCAGATCCTTTTACAATTATGACTCTTTGGCAGGATACATGGTTTGGGAATGGCATTCTCTTGGCATGAATGGAATTGAGAGAAGGAATGATTCCCTAAGTGGTAGCGTTGGTAGAAACAGCTCTCAGGTTTCTTGTAGTTCCTCACACTGGCAGGAAATTTGCCTGCAACCTGGCAAAAACAGATTGCTTATCCAGTCAAGAATTCCAAATCAAAGCTGCTGCATTCTTTGACACTTTAGGTAAGAGTCCCAGTCAACTATTAACATGTACTTGCACTATGCCAAGATAAAAATAAACAGAATGGATGTAAGTAGATATGGGATCTTGATTGTCTGTCTAGATTCTACCTACTAGAAAGCACCTAGATCAGTAATGGTGAACCTTTTCAGCACCGGAGTGCCCAAACCAGAATGTGCGTACATACGCACGTCCCGAAGCACT